TTTGAATCAAAATTTAAACACCCTATTCTTATTTTACACAATACAATATATCTCAATCATTTTTTTTAATGATACATATATATATATGTATATATAGAGGGAAGAGGAAGTAAAGATAACATACCTTGAAATTGAAGGAAGCAAAAAAAGCTTTGGCAAACCCAGAATTCCAAGACAAATTAGGAAACCTGTATTGAGAGAAGTTGTATATATATATATATATAGAGAGAGAGAGAGAGAGAGAGAGATGGTATATGTATAGGTATGAATGTTATGAATATGGTGGGTGATGAGGAGCCTGCAATGCAATATTGAGGAGGTAAGCAAATGCCAAATGGATGTTATATATATATATATATATATTATTTATGTGTGTAATTAATTAATTAAGAGAAGAGTAGTGGAAGGAGTAAAAGAGTGGGTGACAGTTCATAGATTAGAAGGATGTCAAACAAAAAAATGCCATGAAAGAGTCATGCCTAGAGAAAAAGGGAAGCTTCTTAGTTTCCTAATTAATTAATTACTTAATTAATCAACTAATTAATTAATTAATCAACTAATTAATTACTTAATTAGGTAATTAATTACTTAATTAATCAACTAATCAATTAATTAATACTTTATTTATTTTCAACATATTTAGGTTTGTTTTTCTTTTAGCTGGCTTTTTTCTTGGTAAGGACACCAATTAGGACTTTACCCCATTCTTCTTTCTTCCTACCCAATTCCCTATACTCTATTTACTTGTGTGTCTACATATATATATATATATATATATATACACTCTATATTAACAATATAATAATACTAATATGTTAATAAATTATTTATATATTTTATTAAATTAAATATCATAGATAATTGAGTATTATAGAATGCCGAAATACTTTAAATTATATTATCTTTTGTAATTTAGATTCATTAAAATTGAAGTCGACGTATTGCTTGTGTATAGAAGAACACGGACTACAGACGTAGATGATAGTTTCAAGTATGGTTTCATCGTGGATGAATGCAGAACCTTATTATCTACCAAATTTGATATTTCGGTCTGTTGGACAAAACGATATAGTAATTTTGAGGCTCATAATTTAGTTCGAGTCGCGTGCATGTATTATGGAATGACAAAACACTTTAAATTATATTATATTCTGCAGTTTAGATTCAGATAGAATCGAATTCGACGTATTACTTGTGTATAGAACACTTACTACAGACGCGAATGATAGTTTCAAATATAATTTTATCATGAATGAATGCAGAACCTTATCATCTACCAAATTTGATATTTCGGTCAGTTGAACAAGACGGCTCATGATTTAGCTCGAGTCGCGTGCATGTATTCAGATTTACAAATTTGCGAGATTTTCTCTCCGAATATTAATGTAATGATACATTAATATTATGAATGAATTCTTTTATAAAAAAAAAAGTAGTATACATTATTTCAATCATTAAACCACTATATGATTGGTTAGAATTTGAAATCAAATCATAATCACATATAATTTATACATATATATATATATATATAAATTCTTGTTGTAAAATCAAAATCCAAAGATAACTTAAAAATCAATACTTTACCAAATCCCATATTAAAATTATTAATCCATTTTTTAATGGTGCAATTAATTTATTCTTAATTAGTCATAAAATCAATTGGGCAAAAAACCCTAATTTCATATTTGATTGGTAATTGACAGAAAGTCAGCAAGCAACCAAACTTGGATTAATTTTGACCAAGTAAGAACCCTAAATAATTTAGGGCCGGACGAATAATAAATTTTATAATTTTGATTATAAGTAAGAAAATGATGTGAATGCATTAATTAAAGTAGTTGGTACAAAATTTATTTATTTATTTATTTACAATGGTTTTATTTAATTAATTTTAATTTTTTTAGAATAATTAATTGTGATTTCATTGTGATTTGGAAGTATTTTCTATTTTAGTTTTTATATTAAATTTAATTTGCATAGTTTATACCCACATTGGATTTATATATGTGTACGTATATATATATATATATATATATTATGTATGTAACTTCTATCTTCAATTTTTGAAGATGTAGGTTGACTTTTGGTAAAAAGTGGGTTAATAATGAAAAGTTAAACATAATAATTATATTTTTATTATGCATATTAAAATTAATCTAACTTAAAATTTAGGAATTAATTAAAATTTAATGAGAAATAAGCACCAAATAAAATCCTAAATTATATTTAATTAGATAATTTTTTTTTGGGTAAAATTTATTTACAATTTCACACTTAATTCAACTGAGAAATATGTAAAAAAAAAATTAATTAAAAGATGATAAAAGATAATATTGCACTTAATTTCAAGTGAAATTAGTACAATATATATATATATATATATATATAGATTTTATTGAAATTAACATAATTTTGAATGTATTGAAATTATTTTTAATGTAATTTTTCATTGTTTTAAATTAAAATTTTATCAAACTAGGTGCAAAAAATTTCAGAAAAATTGTTTTTCTTTTCCCAAAATCCTATAATTTTAATAAATGAAATTTATTTTCGTTAATAATAATTTAATTTTAAATAATTTATTTGTGTCTCGTTTGAAACAATACAATTTTTAATATTTATATTTATAATTTTTAAGTGAGAAAAATAAGTAGTTCTTCGTGTTTTTTGAAATAAATGGGAAACGAGAATAAAGAAGTGCGATTCTTTTTCTATCGCTTTCGATTTATATTTTCTTATGCCTAAAAATTTAATTATTTTATTTTAAAAAATGTTAGGTGAAGTTTTTTTTTTTTTTTTTTTAACTCGTTCAAGTTTTTTTTTTTTAGTCGAACATATCATGATTCGTTGGTATGAAATCCAACTTAATCATGTAATCTCACAAATACATTAATAAAATAAGTCTTAATCTCTCCCGAACTAAGTATCACGGATCACATCCTATCGATTTATAATATACTTATAAAAAAAATAAATTCTACATATTTAGTAAAATTTAAACTCGTAACTTTATCATCATAAAGATGACTTCAAACACCAATTTCCGATGGGATTTAACAAATTTTTTTTTTTTTAGGAATAAGTCATCTCGATCTTGGAATAATCAACTTGAGATAATCGATTAAATAATAATTCCAAAATGTTTTAGATTCATCAAATAAAGAAAAAAAGATTATCCTCTATCATTTGAATTCAGAATTTCTAATTCACATCCCCAACATCTACAACTTAAACCCTAAAAAAATCACAGCAAAATCATAAAGTACATACATAAGAAATTAGGAATTCCCCCATTTGAACAGAGCTTCTGATAATTGTATCATCATCAGAGAGATGATTCATTTCTCTCTTAAAATTCAATCAAAAGAAGCATCATACACTCGAGTCTTCACTAATCAAGACTGTTAAAAAAAATTACATTCTGGATTAAGGGTTAAAAGAGGATGATTAACCCTCAACCATTTACAAATATCTTTATTCCCCCTATTAACTACAACATCTACCAAAATCATTTATTGACAAGATCAATCAACAATTGCAGTTCAATAGAAATTTTAGAGGTCGAATTCCGAAATAACAACAAAGAAAGAACCAATAAATGGGTTAGTGCCAGAAGGAAAGTTAGAAGAATTTTAGTTTACCTTCAGAGATCTTCTACAGTGCTATCTGTGATAGATCTTCAAACACTGATTTCATGTCAGGCCTCTCGGATGCCGATAGGATACATCTTAGAGCTACCTGCAACATTTCGTTGAGAATTCTAGGTGGGTGATGCTCGCTATGCCTATCCACAAGCATTCTATCGAAGCACTCGATAGAACGAGACTCTCCGGCTAATAACCTAACCCAATCTGTCAAATCAACTATCCCTGGATCTCCGGATAATATCTCCCCAGGACTTTTTCCGGTAAGAAGCTCCAATAAGATTACTCCGAATGCATATACATCACTCTTTAATGATGGACAAGGTTTGCTTGAGCTAGCAAATTCAGGGGGGCGATAGCCTAGAGCACCTGCATTCAGGACTTGCTCAGCTGTGCCTGCTGGAGTCAAAATCCGATGGAGACTGTAATCAGTGAGCCGGGCATTCAAATTAGGTGCTTCTAATAAAATGTTTGTTGATTTGAGATTGCCATGCGGAATTATTTTCTCATTATGTAGGTAGTTCAGACATCGGGCAACATCAACTGCAACTCGCAGACGTTCATTCAGAGATAAAGGTGGGAGTTTTCTGGGCTCTGTCTCTGCAGGCAAATGACAAAAAACGTCCAATTTATACTGTAATCAGACAAACAAAAATAAATTTACGATATATTCTCCAAGCAAGACGAATTAATAAGAAGATAAGATGCCTCGATCTACCCTTACACTGTTTTGCATAGGAAAGTGGACTTCCAGTCAATGGATCAAGAAACAGTAATAACACTTCTTATCGTGGTCCAGGAATTTATAAAGAAAACGATCTAAAAGCCAATTGGGTTCCTTGTTATGCTCTAATTTAGAGACATGGAGCTCTACAAAATACCATTGATTTTGAGCTGGATTTATTCTTTACTTCTACAACATGGAAGATAAGGAATATGGGACTGAAACTTGATAATGGTACCAATTTGTTGTTAGCATGTGTCTTGGAGAGACATACTCGACCCTCCAAAATGGGGAAGAGGTTCCCCAAATTGTGATGATTTGAGTTCATTTAATTATCTTCACCCCCCCCCCAAAGAGACATACTTGACCCTCAATATAGCAACATGGCACTCAAAACAGACTATAGTGTCAACCTGGGACTTTCTTCCTAACCTTGCTAGGAATTAGATAAGTCGATCCTGTATTATATCCATAATGGGTACATCTCCTAGGAACCAAAAACAAAATCTTGAGGAAAGAATTCTTCTTGAAAACCAACCTTTGGAAGATGATCCTCTTAGGACGAATAGATATATAAACAGTGTATTTGCAGTAAATCTGCTTGGCAAAATAATGAGGATTTACCTATATACTACAAAAATGACTACGGTAACTGTTCCCCCATATGATGATACTTAGATCTCACCATTTTCTTGGATCAGATTGATGCTTTAGAGGAATATTTTTATTGGCATGATATGCTGAAGTAGGCTCGAAGTTGAACCAGATGAAATTGATTGGTTGAGTCAACTATCAACCAAGGGAGGTAATGAAACAAAGGCTGAAAGTGAACTACCTTCCACTACAATCGGTCTAAGCTTCAGGAAAAACCAATTTTACAAAATGAAAAGGCTCATCAGTTTCTTCTGGGCATTTATGAAACGAAAATGTTTCATTATTTAGTGCTCTATGTGTAGGGGAAAAGGAGTAAAAGAATCATTTCCAGTGCAATTTTCATGCCTTCAGTAATTTAAAATTTTATTTGCCTCCCATGTTTCACTTTTCTGAGATTAACTAGGTTATGACTGAAATATTGGTGAAGGTGCTCCATGCAACTATCAAGACGGCAAGCTGGCCGTACCACATTTACAGGACATAAATGGGCAGACGTGTTATTATAGGGGTGATCAGTACCCTGTTCATCTCAGAAGATAAAATTGAAGGATGTTTTGGGTTATTCAAATAACATATGACCATAGCTATTCAAAACAAGAAAATCCAGAAATTTATAGGGTTCATGCATGCAATTACAGGTAGAAAATATTCAGTTTTTTATTTTTTCAGTGAGCACATAGAGAACAGGATCTTACCTTGAAGATAGAGAGCTAAACATTGTGCATCAATATAATTTGATATTATCAGCTTCTCGTGCTCCTTTGGCCCCCAGTAGTAACCCAGCAGGGAAACTAAATTTGGATGTTTGATGCTACCAAGTTTCTTCACTTCCCTTGAAAATTCCTTCCTACCTTTTGCTATCCCCTCTCTTAACCATTTGACAGCCAATACATGACCAGAGTCAAGTGCAGCTCGGTATAAGGTTCCATGACAACTCCTGCCAACAGTTTCAGCTGGAGCATGGGAAAGTTCTTCTGCAGTAAAGAAGATGGAGCCATCAAAGATATGCAAATCTCCCAACAATTTATCTGGAGAACAAACATAGAGTCCTGGTGCATTATCAGATGAAAGCGGACTTCTACAAGGTGATGGATTTCCAGATCTCAAGAAAGACACGCGGGGAGATAATACTTCATCTTTTCTAACTGATTCTGGATAGGAAAGAGTCTTAGGCTTCATTTCAACTAAAGATGTATCCCCAGATTCATATGCAGGACCCAGTTGGGCTGATGCCAACAGACCTTGGTTGAAACTTGAAGATAATGATGGGTCAAGATTCCTGTTAGGTGCTGAGGAATGAGAATGAGAAGAATCTCCATGTTGGACACTTTTCTTTCCTCCATTTCCTTCTACACTGTCTCTCTTATGTCCCTGGTGAACCCTGACATAAATTATTATGGAAAATAGGGCTATTAGAGCAGCACCACCGAGTAAACTTGCAATTAGTGCAACCCTAATAGCAGGTTTTGTGTGACGATGCTCCCTCAAAGTCAAATCTGGTTCACCTTTAGTTATTGATGGAGAATGAGGAAAAACCAACAAGGAGTTCCCAGGATGGAAGGCTGCATCAGGAAAGCGCCTCAAATTTTCAGGTACAACACCAGAAAGATTATTGAAAGATACATTGAATCCTTTAAGTTCATCTGGAAGACCACTTGGGAGGCTTCCTTCAAATTTGTTGTTGGATAGGCTAAGATACTCTAAGTTACGAAACGTACTGATTTCCTCAGGCAAATGCCCACTCAAGTAATTGTCTGACAGATCAAGA